CCCTGTATATATTTGTCGCATTAGGGACTGTTGTGAGGTGTCTTTTCAAGTGCCACTAGCGTGGCAAAAGACTGTAACTGATTGTGAGTGTGCGCGATCGGTGACGTATGTTTTGTATGTACGTGACATAATAATTATCTCAGTCCGAGAACCGTGTAGTGCAATCGATCGATCCTTTTGGGATTCTCTCTCGTAATAACAACAACAAAAGTAAGTATACGAATGTGCAATGAGTTTTAATAGTTAGTTCTCTTACGTTCAGCATAGCTAATCTTAAGTGTCGAAGTGCTCTTCCTCTTCCTTCTCTCGTTCACTCAAGCGAGCGCTCCGACGTTCTAGATTTGCAATTCCGAACGCAGCTCTTGTCCGACACAAAAAATTTACCTATGTATATTACAAGGTGTTATGGATATGGTGGAACTAATCTCAACGATGACAAAAGTGATGAACACAAAACGATCTCCGTGATCTCCGTTGCACTATGGGAAAAACAAGCCAAGGACTTTGATGGTTCCAATAATCCGGTCTTGGCCATTAAAGGAGCGCGTGTGGGTGAATTCAATGGTGGAAAAAACCTGTCCCTCGTACATTCCTCTGTACTTGAAAAGAATCCTGATCTTCCTGAAGCACACAGGTATGTTCAAGCTGATTCTTAAGCAAAACAATTCTTCTAATTTCGTTATGATAATTAAAATTTATGTGTAATTGGCTAGAAGAGAAGTAGCCTTATTTTCTAATTGGTCTTTATGCAATTTTTAATATTAATTTTTTTAATTGTAACTTTGATTAGAATGAGTTGCTATCTGGATTGACTTCTAACAAGTTTCTTTAAAGATAATATGTTGTAAATGTACAATTTTGGAGATATAATTACATAAAGACACTGTAATGTACAATTATATGTATTGTGATGTGTATTTCAGATTGCGCGAATGGTACACCACAGTTGGCCATTCAGAAAATGCTAAATCATTATCTAGAGCAGGTGGAAGTGGTGACTTAAACGTGCCGTTATATACTCTCCAAGAGGCAACCGAAGCTCGATTGGGGGAGAAAATGAATATCTCGGATGCATTTATGGTGGTGGCGACCAATAAAATGATTCGCGTGGAGAATGCTATCTACAAGGCATGTCCCATAGAAAGTTGTAAGAAAAAAGTGAGTGGTATGAGACACGAATAAAATTTATAAAACGAAAATTCAACGATATTTCCAAGCTACAAAATATGAATTATCATAAAACTTCAATTTCAGTTAATTGATCAATCTACTGGAGTATTTAGATGTGAGAAGTGTAACAAGGAGTATCCAAATTTCTCATATCGATTGCTGGCAAGTGTATGTATATTGTCCTTGCGCTGTTCCTTATTTATTATTTGCAAGTACATTCTGATATATCTGTTCGACTTATTGTCGTAACGATTCTCAGATGAATATAGTGGATGCGACAGGCAATCGCTGGGTAACTGCCTTCGGTGAAGAAGCTGAGAAGATATTAGGCATATCGGCGCAACACTTGGGGGAATTGAAAAAGAGCGATAACGATGCCTATTTGCATAAATTCGGCGAGGCAACTTTCAAAAGATTTACTTTCAACTTGAGGGCGAAATCAGAAGTTTTCCAGGTAACCGATACAGTGCGCATTTCATCATACTAATAAGATTCCTCCTCCTTCCACCTTGCTAATTTTCACAGCAATCTTATTTTTTTTACCATTATATAAATCATGTTCTAAGATAGTGTATATTTTGTAACAATTTCTACGTTTTGCAGGATGAAATGAGAATACAATACGTCTGTGTATCAGTTACGCCGTTAAATTACAAGACTTACCTCGCACATCTGATAGACAAAGTCTCCAAGTTGTTGCACATCGAAAAATTTGAATTCAACTATAACAAGATAAGATTTTATACGTTTCGTTAAAAAGAAGTTTAAGATGGTTAAAGCTGATTATTTTGCACGATTAATTTAAGTATTATGGTCGTTTGTATGAATTTTCTTTGCAGTGTCTTATTTAGATTTAGAGTGTTTTTATTATTCGATAAAGTTCCATCATTCTTTAATGTAAAAACTTACCGAATTTATCACGTAAGAAAAAATTGATATACGTATAATCACATTAATCGAATATGCGTTACCTTGCATAAAAATATTTATCATTTTTCTTTGTATTGTGGTTGCTATGTAATAGCATGGTTGTTATGTAATAGAAAATTATGCTACAAAAGTAATAGCATTTACTTTTGTAGCATAATTTCACTGTTCGTTGTCTCGGCTTCTTCTTCAGATCCCAAGATTTTTACAGTGTATTTTCAGAATTCCGTACAACAGTAATGTAATAAATCAAATGGAAACGAGAATGCCAAATTATTACTTAGGTCCGAGCAAGATTAAGATAGCTCAATAATTTAAAATTTTATATGTGAATTCATATACCGTTTTTTGCGCCGAGATTTACCTTGCACATGTGATGTACATAGAGTTTATTACAAAGTAATTTAATACTTAACTAGACTCTAACACGCGAAATGTGTCTCGTTTCTATTGCAGAATCACTCCAGCATCCCCTTAAAGGCCAATGTCCATGGTCCAAGTTCTAGTTTCGAGAAATCTGTAGCCAATCAACGTACAGCTATTCCATAAAAGCTGCAAGTTGATTGGCTACATGTTTCCTGGAACTAGAACTTGGACCAAGTTCTAGCATCGTGGACACAGGCCTTAAGGGGTTAGCTCACCTTGACCGGGTCGAAATCAGTATAATTTTCATTTATTACATTTTTTTATTTTTCCAATACAATTATTTATTAACAATAAAAGTTAATGTTTCCCGTCCAGTAGCCTGGACCGCGTCCGCGTCCGCGTCCGCGTTCTCGTCCTCGTCCTCGTCCTCGTCCTCGTCCTCGTCCCCATCCTCGGCCTTCCCCTCTGGCCCCTCTTCCCCTTCCGCCTTTCTGCCATCGAGCTGAAAAATATAAAATAAACTATTATGTGAGCCTGTATATAAAACAAAATAAATAAATAATACTCATATTGATTATTTATACTTACGTTTTGAGAATACTTCTCGCGACGATGTCGGCGGCGGCGGCTGCTGCAGCGGCGGCGGCGGCGGCGGCGGCGGCGGCTGCAGATTCGCCGTCTTTGTCGGCGGTAGCGGAGGCGGCGGCGGCGGCAGCGACGGCAGGAGTTGCTGTTGAGATGCTGAATTTACACCTTGTTGTTGTAAATTCAGCATCTCCACGTCCTCTACCGCATTTAACAGTACACGGTCGAGGTTTCTGGAATCGGAAAGAATATAAATAATTATTTTTATTTAATGCCATTGATTTAACAATGTAGAAAAATTGCATGACGACCAATGGCTGAAAAATTCTAATTAAAGATATTCATTGCAAAAAATGGTTCACACCCTGGCTGAGGTAATATTTTTCGCAATGAATCGCAATTGGCAGTCATTAACCGTCATGCATTAGAAAAATACATATTTGTTGTACTTACGTGTCGTTCATCTCAAGGTCCATCTCTGTTTGACCATTTCGTCTTTTGTCCCGATATATCCCGAACATAACATACAGTGCCACACGCGACGCGACGCGCCACGTGAGACTCGCGCGCCGTGCGATATCCAATTAGCGTACAGCTTTTAGCCCGGGTCTATGATAGGTGTAGTAACTTTAGGTCGTAAGAAATTGACCAATCACAAGCGATTATTCTTCTCGTCACTTCAGACT